TGCTCTGGAGCCCTCCTTCCTCAGCTAAGACAAAAATGTGTAAGCTGAAGGATAAAAAACGGTGAGCTAGCTCCCACTCACTCAGCTTAGAGGGAACACTGAAGCCAATCTGATGTGGGCTGTTGGTATTATAGTTAATTGCCACACGAATACATGAAGCTGCCTTACACCGAATCAGGACACTGGTTCATCAAAGCCATTAGCAGAGGTCGATTTGGGGGCATCACGGGGGATCACCGTTCCCCCGGGTGAGATGCGATGGGCAGGGCACATGACGAAGCCCCGCCCCCTGCTTCCGGCCACCCCGCTTCCGGCCCTCATTCAGCCAGGAGGAGGCAGGAGAAGAGGGAGGGTAAGTTGCTTCCTCCCCACCTCTGATGTCAGGGGGTGTGGCATATGCTAATGAGTTATGCTAATGAGTTCCCCTAGCTCTTTTTCTACGAAATGACCCCTGGCCACTGGTACTGTCTACTGAGACTGGCAGTGGCTCTCCAGGGTCTCAGACAGAGGTCTTTCACTTCACCTACTGTCTGGTCTTTTAACTGGAGATGCCGGGGATGGAACCTGGGACCTTCTGCATACCAAGCAGACGCCCTATCACCGAACCCTGGCTCCTCCCCATAGCCAGTGGTGAAGGAATGCCTTCTGAGGCTCTATGTGGCCAAAGGCCTCCTTGATTTGTGCAGCTTTGCAACATAGGGAATGAGTTCTTGATTGAGGTTTTGAGTGAGTGAGTGAGTGAGTGAGATGAAACCTGCAGTGCTCATATCCTTCTTTATCCCATAAAACTCTAGCTTCTGGTTATGTTTGTTGAGTTGTAGGTTTTAGCTGGGCTCTTTTTGTAGAAAAAGCCCAGCAGGAACTCATTAGCATAATAGGCCACACCCAACAACAGGAACTCATTAGCATATTGGGCCACACTCCTGACATCACAGCTCATTAGCACATTAGGCCACCCCCCCATGTTACCAGAAGTGTGCTCATCCAGCCACACCCACCTTTTGCTTCTTATTCTGTTGACCTTGTTTGTTGTCAAAACCCAGGGCCTTTTTTTGTAGCAGGAACTCCTTTGCATGTTAGGCCACACCCCCCTAATGTAGCCAATCCTAATGAGTTTCTGCTGTTGGGTGTGGCCTGTTATGCTAATGCGTTCCTGCTGGGTGTGGCCAACTTGGGAGCCAGCCGGAACTCCATTCCTGTGCGTTCCTGCCCAAAAATAGCCCTGGGTTTTAGGGAAGGTGGCAGCGTGACAGGATTTCTCTCCTACATCGGATGTTGCTACCGTAGCTGCACACCCAGCGGCGAAAGGAGAGGTTGCCTTAGGGCAGCACCCACACTGGGATTGGTATTCCTCTTTTGTAGATTTTGTAGACCAAAGAGATTTTTCTAGGTGGTCTTCCACATGCAGTTGTCTTCTTAGGCAGTGCTGCAAGCGAGGGGCTAATTGGATCTAACCCCGTGGTTCTCAAAGTGAGAGGAAACTAGTTCTGGGAGGATGCATCCGTTCCCTGGGATTTGGTGAAGTGAAATAAATATGGGTTTATGGCAGCCTACAGGAGCCGTATTTCCTTCCCTTCCCTGTTGTAGAGACCCCTGGACTCCCTTTCCCCATAAATGCTTTTGAGATGGTTCTCTTTTCTGTACCTCAATAGCATTCAGAGTGATGCTCTGTCCGTAATAAGGTACCCTGTAAGCAGTGTTCCCTCTAAGCTGAGTTAGTGTGAGCTAGCTCACACTTTTTTAGCCTCCAGCTCACAGATCTTTGTCTTAGCTCAGGAAGGATGGCTCCAGAGCAAATTAATTTATGCAGCAGCCAAATCACTCGCTCACAACTCTAATGCTAGTAGCTCACAAAGTAGAATTTTTGCTCACAAGACTCCATAGCTTAGAGGGAGCATTGCCTGTAAGCACTGTGTCAGGATATGGGTCACGAGTGCTATTTCCTGTGTCAGGATATGGTTCACGAGTGCTACACCAGTTTGGTGAAGTGGTTAAGTGTGCGGATTCTAATCTGGGATAACCGGGTTTGATTCCCCACTCCTCCACTTGCACCTGGCTGGCTGGCCTTGGGCAAGAGGTAGTTCTGATAAGAGCTGTTCTTGAAAAAGAACAGTTCCTGTCAGAGCTCTCAGCCCCACCTACCTCACAGGGTGTCTGTTGTGGGGAGGGGAAGGGAAAGGAGTTTGTAAGCCACTCTGAGACACCTTTGGGTAGTGATGGGTGGGGTATAAATCCAATCTCCTCCTCCTCCACCTCCTCCTCCT